CCATATGTATTTTTTTTTTAAACCACAAAAATATGACACAAAGTACAGTACGAAGAGAGAACACTAACCTTGCTCGACGCGACTTCTGGCATGGAGGACAGGAAGGCGGGTGGGGAGGCGGTTATTGTTTGGGGGGAGAGTCCCCCTCCCCACAAGAAACCACGACCACATGTCACGGCAGGGAAAATGGCCGCGGATCCTGTTTGTCACCCAATGCGGAGTTCGCGAACGGAAGCAAAATTTTTCGAATGGTGCTGTTCGTGAACCGAATTGTTCGTGAACAGAAGCGTTTGTGACCCAAGGTACCACTGTATTATACTGTACATATCATGGAAAATGGATGAATCGGAAAGCACGATGAAAGACTAAGATAAAGGGTGAACATTATCAAGAATAGATATTGGGGAAGTACATGGAAGAAAACAAAACAAGTGAAAGAACAATTGCAGAAAAAGTAAATAGCGTGAAAAAAATGTATGAAAAATATTAATAGCTTAACCTCTCAACAGAACAAATGGAAAGTGGTCATAAGGAAAGAGCTTATGTGAAAGCTGCTTGGAACAGAATGAAAAGGGTTACATTATGAAGTGTCATAGAAGAGAAAATAATGAAAAAGGATGCTTGGTGGAATTATGAACTGAGAGGCTATGGGTAAGAGAAATTGCTGAGAGAATTATTGTGGCAAAAATGGGGATGAGATAAAGATATTGTATAATATGCGCAGAGAGTGAAAGATAATTGCATAGATTAAAAACTTGTTTTTTTAAACTGTCCAGCTGACAGGCTGTGCATGAAATGGGATGGCATGGGATGGAGCTAGAGGAAGCTGCCCCAACGTGCCTAGAGTTCAGCCTGCACTGTTTCTCACATGCAACCTGTGTTCTGGGCAATCTTTTTTGCAGGGGGGGGGAGCATGGTTGTTCTGGTTTTCTGGAAAACCACTAGATATGTGTTCAGAAATAGCCTCACAAGTTATCTACACTAGTAATGAGTTGCCACATGGGTAACTTGAAAGATAGCTTGAATCACCAATCCATGCCCATCTCAAGGAAAGTGTTGGGTGGGTTTTTCCCCTCCATGTAGGTGATAGTGGGTAGAAGAAGAAATAAAACCAGAGAATTCGTCAACTGCTGCCTTTAAAGCAGTGTTTCTCAACCTCAGCCACTTTAAGATGTGTGGACTACAACTCCCAGAATTCCCCCAGGCAGCATGAAAGTTGCTGAGATTGAGAAACACTGCTTTAAACTGTTCCACAATAAAGCTGTCAGGACAGCACATTTGCTGGCACAGGAAAGCTCAGCCATGAGGACAGAGCAGTTTCGTCAACATACTTTTTTGCTAACTTAAGGATGGGAGGAATGCACATTAACATGAGGATTCAGATTTTCGCTCTTTGGTAGATCACTGATAAATGTATGAATATGAGAAAGTTTATTCCAAATTTGTTAATTTATAGAATTTAAATTTAAATTCTAAATTTAAATTTGTATGATAAAGTAAAATAAGTGTCAAGCATGAAATGTTTTACATGAAATGTGAAACTGAAGGTTGGTTGCTGAATGCAATAGGAGTAGTATAGAAGTAAAATAAATTAAATGCTTACTGATGGTTCAGCGCCAAGAACAGAGCAAGATGTTATACCCAGAGATAATAGCAGAGTGGTGGGAGGGAGAGGGGGTTAGAAATACAATAAGTAAACAGATGTTAGAGGTGTGCTGGTCAGAAACGTGAATGTGCGTGCCCTTTTTTATGCAGATGATACCACTTATTGGCTGAGAACCTGAACAATTTGCATATGGATGTTGTATAATGTAACAAGGAGAATGGATCAGAAAACTAATGTACTAAACACCAAAGTAGTTGTGCTTGACCAGGACAATGGAGCAAATAAATGCAGTTTATACATAAAGGGCAAAAAGAGCAACTAGATAAATTTGTGCATTTAGTGGAATGTTTATTAAAATGGGAGAATGGATGGAAATGTTTAAGATACGCCCATCCTGTTGTAAAAGAAATGGGAAATATATGGTTTGTTGCAAGGGATGAATGTTTATCAAAAGAAGAGAATATGGCTACATATAAGAGCATGTTTCTGCATACTTTATTATATGAAAGTTGGAAATGTCAGGACAAATATAACAGTAACTGGAATGCAGTGGAAATAAGGTACTTAAGAAGTGTACAAGTGTACAAAAAGAGGTAGGGTCAGGAACGAATGCATGAGGAATGCAAAAGTAAGTGCCTGTGTGAAAGAAGTACAATGAGGTAGTTTGGTCACACAGAGAGAATGAATCAGCTCTTTCTCATAGCTATGTTAATGTGCTTTCCTCCCATCCTTGAGTTGGAAGAAAAGTATGTTGATATAAATAGCACTTCCCTCAAAGCCTACCTGCAGTTTAATGTGAGGTAGTTTTAGGGCAGTGATTGGTGGCTTCCCTGCCATCTTTCTCCACATTTTGGCAGGCAGAAGGGATTAAGAGAGAGGCTCCCAAGACAAATGTTAACCCTACCTTCAAGAATAAAGGGAGGATGAAAATGAGTTGGTAGCGCTGCTCAGGCAACAGGAAGTCCACGTGTGGCCTAGCACTATCGAGTGACCAGCATATGGGGAACTGCAGCTCATCGTCTGCGCTCCATTTCGTGTGGTCTGTCTTCTTGCTTTCCTGGGTAAGAACTTCAGAAGCTTCCCTCAGCTGTCAATATTGCAGGGCTCTTCCTCCTTGTTGGGGGTCTGGCCAGAAGATAAGGTTGCTTAACCCACCTAGATCTAGCATCTGCAGCTGAGCAGCTGCCAGGTACGGCAACAAGAGGCAAGCCGGCTGGCTGTTTTAAGAGGCAAGTGTCCAAAAGGGATGCTTCGGGAAACTACACATGGCAACAAATCAGCAGCTGATTGATCCCTGACTTGAAATGGTAAAGTTCTACCTGCCGGGTTTTTGTTTTGTCCTCTTTTCTTCTCGCCTCCTGCACCTTCCTCTCTTTCATGCAGCACCCAAGGTGGCCCCTTTTAAGACCAGAGCAGGTCCTTTGCTCCAAGTGATGTAAACAATTTCTTAATTCATGAGCCTCATTATTGCCAAAGAACTGCATAAACAGCTAAGCTTATTTTTCCTTACCAGTGCAAATACTGACTGTGTGGTAAAACTGCACTTGGCCTTCCACAAGATTGATATTCCTGTGACTGAATTCAAAAAAGTTAAGAAGGCTGCACAACTGAGGTGTGTGGTCTCTCTTGGTGCCACAGCCAAAGTGGCCATGGAGTTGCAGAACCCAGCAACTGAATGGGAAGGGGTTTCTCAGCAATTTCCAAAGGTTCTTCCTCCCTGTGTTGGGATATGAGGAAGACACCATTGTCATGCCAGAACACCTCTGACTAGCCTCAAGCTTCCTTGGTACAGGTAGTCCTAGAGTTCCATCCATTTGTTTAGCGACCATTCAAAGTTACGTCGCTGAACAACCAGTTACAACTGGTCTTCAAAGTTCCAGCCATTGTAGCGCCCCTGCTGTCACGTGCTCAAAATTTGAGCGCTTGGCTACTGGCCTGCATTTACTGTACAACCACTGCAGCATCCCACAGTCATGTTCTCCTGTCCTGCATGAACTGCCTCCACTTCAACTCCCCCACCCACCTATCTCCTCCCCCATCTCTGCCCTTTTGGCCACCCTGCACTCCACCACCTACCCCTGCCACCAATGTGCTCAGCTGACCTTTGCCATCTTCTTCCTCCCACTGCTGGCCCAAGAGCCAGGCACTGGGCAAGCACGGCAGGGCAGTGGAGCCTGGTCTGCTGAAGGGAGCTTGCCAGGCGAGGGAGGAGGCAGTGGGAGAGCCGGTGGAGGAGGTAGGGCAGCGGTGTGGGTGACAGAGTCCCGTCTTCCATTGCCAGCTTCCACTGCACTGGAGAGTGCAGCAGGCAGGGCTGTTAAGGGGCAGTGCACTCTGGCACTGGGCGAGGCAGGAGAGCCAGTGGTGGCAGCTCCCTGGCCAAAGGTGGTGGCTGTGCAGGAGGCACTGTTTCAGGTGGCAGCAGAACTGGAGGAAGTAGAGGGACAAGGCAGTTCGTGCAGGGCAGGAGAAGCATGAGGTCCTTGCCTAACAACCACACAGTTCTCACCTAACAACCACAACCAGGACTGCTGGAACTCCGATCGTTAAGCAGAGTGGTCACGTGATGTTTTGCTTAATGACCGCTTTGCTTAGCGATGGAAATTTTGGTCCCAATTAGTGTCGTAACCCAAGGACTTCCTGTAGTGGTTGTGAGAGAGGTGACATAGTGAAGGCAAATCCTCTATAAACAATGCAACAGCAGAGGTATGGATGAGCCCAATTAGGATCAAATCCCAAAATATATAAGGAAGAGTGACTGGATCAAGAGGAAAGGGAAGACTGAGATGAAGACTCAGGGTGAGATGGAACTGATGAGATTCTTAAAAAGAGAGAGATGAGAAGCTTAAAGAACAAAAGGCAATGTATGAATCAGGGCATGGATGTGGTGGAAGCAAGGATAGATTGCAAGGAAAGAACAGTATTAAGAGGTGTGGTGAATACAGCGAGCCAGTCTGGTGCAGTGGTTAAAGCACCTGGCTAGAAACCAGGAGGCTGTGAGTGCTAGTCCTGCCTTAGGCACGAAGCCATCTGGCTGATCTTGGGCCAGTCCCTCTCTCTCACCCCTAGGAAGGAGGCAAGGCCAAACCAATTCTGAAATTTTGCCAAGAAAACTGCAGGGACTTGTCCAGGCAGTTGCCAGGAGTCAACACTGACTCAAAGGCACCCGAAAAAAAGTGAATAGTAAACTAGAATTAGTTAGATGCTCTTTTCTTCTCTGTTATCTCCTGCCTTTAATTCCTTTTACTCAATACTTCTCATTCATTTTCTGTGCTTTAAATACCACTGCTAACCCCCCAAAGAAAGTGAGATAGGTCTCTCCATCTGTCTAATACTCCAAGGGAACAGTAATCAGCCCATTCATATTATATTTATCCACAACACAAACCAAATGCCTTTAACTTTGGAAAGAGATTCCCAGTTCTATCTCCAGTTCGTGGGAACAGATTAAAACCCAGTAAACCTGCTGAAAAATATGATCTCACCAGTGCATGTGAAGAAATAACTGTGGTTGGTGTCAAGGTGCTTCCTGTGCCACCCGGTGCCAGGAGGCTGTTAACAGCTGCGTTCACTTTCTCTTGGGTTGGCAGTGAAGGAAGCTCCAGGACTTTAGGCTTCTTGCCCTTCTGGGGCTGTCCCTCAAGAGAGACCGACACCAAGTTGGGAGACTGTGCTTCTTCCTTCAGTAGCCTATCCCCATCTTCTTGCAGCTCAGCCTCCACAGATTCCTTCTCCAGAGAAGACTTCTCAGAAGGAGCTGCCTCGTCCTTCACTCCACCATCCATTAAAACCATCAGAGCAGCTGCCTCTTCATCAAGGTCAAGGTTCTCCTCCACTTTCACCAGCACCTTCTCATCAAGTGCAGGAATGGGCTCCACTATAATCTGGATGGGGACAGAAAACAGAAGCACTGAAAGTGATGCTATCAGGGGAAGATTTGGGGACCCAGAGATCAGAGAGTCTCCTAAACAAAGCAGAACCAGTTTACTAGGCTTTGAAGTTCATTACTGTGTACAGGGGAAGTCCCAAAAATAAACTCCAGAGCTTAACTTTACTGAACTGATGCATTTGGTACTGTAGGATATTTGTCAGGCACAGCATACTTCCTCCCTGAGCCCTCTGTTAATAACCAGCCCTACTGTAAAAAAATCAGTCCTCAATCTTGGTCTATTTATCTGGGGCTAATTTGTTTGCTCTATTTTCCTTAAAATTGAGCTTTTATAAAATATGCCTTGCTGATTGGTGAAACACTCTCTTTCCTTCAAAACACTGTCAGATTATTTCAAGATGGTCATGAAACTGAGGACCATCCTCTCCTGATGCATTCAGAAACATATTGTCTCTATAAAACCATTTTCCCCAATCTGGTGTTCTCCATATGTGTCAGAAATAAAGTTCCTAAAATTCCAAGCCGGCACAGTCACTGTCTATGCAGGCTGGGGATTCTGAGAATTGTACTCTCAAAACATCTGGAGGGCACTGGGTTCAGAAAAAAACTTCTGTAAAAGAAAATGGGATCCCAGCAAAAAAACTGCTAGCAGGCTGGTTACGATCTTAGTTAGGAGCTAATTTGCTACGGCTAACAGTAACTAGGTTACTACATGAACCTAAAACACAATGTGCTTTTGCCTTAGTATGTTATATGAACCAATCCATTTGTAAATCTAAATTTACATTTTAGCACAATCTATGATGCTGCCAAAGAAATGTGCTTAGTCAATAAATCATTACTAAGCACATAACTTAGCACAAAGTGAGAATGCAGTCATTGACTATATTCTAAAAGGTTTTTTGTTTGTTTGTTTTAAACTTCTTTCTCCTATTGTCTGGTTCTTCTCTCTCCTCAGACTTCTTCTGAACAGGTTCTCCATCCCAGATCCAGTTCAGACACATGGCATTTTCTGATCCTGTACAAATGCATCATCCCAGCCATTATTCCAGCTATGGCCATTTTTTCCCAGCCAGCCCAACTGTCATAACTTTAGTTAACATGTTCCTTATGGTACCAAAAAAAAACCCAGAAAAAGACATAAAATAGAACCCCACTTTCTGACACTTGCTTGTTTATAAAGTTATTTGAGAGTTATCCGGTATAATTCAAACATAAAGCAACTTAAGAAAAGCTCTCCTCAGTTTTTGTTCTTCATTTCCTTGTGTGTTTGCTTCCTTCCACCTTTGGCAACTGCTTTTATACTTACTTGTTTTATGTATTTATAGTTAAATTTATTTGCGTTCTGTACTACTTTTCTTACACACACACACACACACACACACACGCATTTTTGTAAAAATATAAATTATAACCAGATTTTAATCTTATTCTTTCTTAGCCTGGATTCCCTATGATGGGTCCTGTGTGCTTGTTTTCCCTTTGCTTTTTATATTATAGTTTTATACCTCTATACCTTTTTTATATTGTAGTGTTTTATGCTGGTCTTCTGCTGTAAAAAGGTTTTTTTGTGAACGTAAGAAAAGCCCTGTTGGGTCGCACCAAAGGCTAATCTAATTCAGCATTCTGCAGAATGCTCAATCACACACACCAGAGAAGTTTGCAAGCAGGACACAAGGATAACACCACCGTCTACTGGTAATTAGGACATGCAACCTTTGATTCTGGAGGTTTCTGTTTAAACGTCTATTTCCCCTTTTAAAACCATCTACATTAAATGGCCATGACCACAGCTGGAGCAGCAAACTCCATATTTAGCGAATGGATAGCCACAAATTTAATATCATAAAAGAGGAAGAAAAACTTATCGCATGATGTATATAATACATTAAAACCGAGATGGAAAAATATTTTAAAATAGAGAACCTAGCTGCATTTAAAAACATTTTAATCATGATGAAATTTTTAAAAATGTTTAACTATTTAAAACAGAAGGGTACATTCAGAGCCCCTCTATTTTAAATGTCACTGAAGGCTCTCAAAATCCTCAAGGAAGACCCCAGAACCTCTCTAAAAGCTCCTAACAAGTAACAACAACAACAACAGCAACAAAAACAACATGCATTCATAACTGCATGTTGCCAAATCTTTTTCAGACTCATGGCAGCTAATAGCAACACACCAAAACCCAATAAATGTCCACAGTAAAGTAAGAAAATTAATCCATAACCCCAAATAATAAAAGCAAAATTAAAACAACAATTATAGTAAAAATAATAAATAACACTCAGCTACAGATGTCAAACAGTCACTCCCCAAAGCCCCCCTGAAAAAGTTTGGTCTTCATTCGCTTCTGGAGGGTCATCACCAAGGGGGCCAGCCTAGTTTCCAGAAAGAGAGTGTTCTAGAGCACTGGGGCCATGACTGTAAAACAGCATTTTCTGGCATCAAAACCCCCCTCACTTCACTAAATTGGGGTTCCATGTTTGATTGCAATAGGTGGTCCTGGAGATGTATTTTATAAGTCAAAGTAGCACTTTGAATGGCGCCCAGAAACCTATTAGTAACTAATGCACAACTTGCAAGATAGATGTAATCATAGCAACTACTACTGTATGCTAGTCAGCAAGAAGGCTGCTGCATTTTGAACCAACTGTATTTTCTGAGTGATCTTCAAAGCAGCTCCATTAAGAACATATTGCCTAAGTTTAACCTTGTGGTGATAAGGGAATGAGTCACTGTGGTAGGTTCTTCCACTCCAGAAGGGCCACAATTAGCTCACCAATCACCCTCTGGTCACAACTGCCAGCAACCTATCCAGTAGTAGCTGTGAGTCCAGGAGACTGGCAGAGAACAACGTGCAACTCTGTCTTGCCAGGTAAGTTAACCTGTCTTGCTAGGGTTCACCTTCCACCTGTTTCATTCCATCAAGATCCCAACAGCCTTTAAACAGTGGGAGAAAATTTTGACAGGATCTCCAACGAGGCCCAAAGTGACAATATAAAGCTGAGTATCTCCAGTATATCATGGGAGGACCCTTCTCAGCAGCTTCACATACATATTAAACAGCAAGGGGAGAAGACAAGAGAGTGGCCACCAGGCAGACATCTCCTCCTCCCTTGCCACTGACTGGAACTGCCCACTGAGCTAGGAGCAGAACCACTGCAAAACAATGCCTCCGGTCCCCTACCTCTACAAGCCGCCCGGGAAGATTCCACAGTTAATGGTATCAAAAGCCACTGAGAGGTCTGAAAGGACCAAGAGGTCCCCCCATCAAGGCCCTGACAAAGGTCAGCCACTAGAGAGACCAATCCTATGCCCGGTGATGTGCTGGAGCCGGCTTGCACTGGCTCATAAGAACCAATGCTTAATTTTTCTAGAATTTTGCAAGCCAGTTGACAGCAGAGGTGAGCCTCAACACTTAGCACGCCAATCCGCTGTTCTATGGCTAGTGACACAGCATAGCAGCAGCAGTGTTGCTGGCAGAGCCAGTTCTTAAACATTTAGCAGCATACCACTGCCTACACCCCATGCCTAGGCTCGAACTCTCCCTGAAAGGGGCCCAGATAATTTACTTCCTCTGAAGTGCTCTGCAGCTGAATCTCTACCATGCATTCAATGACATTCTGTAAGAAGGTAAGAGTGGAGACTGGGTTATAATTCTCAAATATTGCTGGATCCAAGGAGGGCATCTTATGGAGTGGGTCCATGCAATAGCTTCGTTCAAGGCTACCACCATTACACCCTCCTGAAGAAAGACACTGATGACCTCTTGGATCCAGGTCATCATGCTCCCCTGATCCCACATAGGAGGCAGGCAGGTCAGCATCAAGATGCAATGTTTCATCTTTTACTTTTCTGCTCTATTTTCTCTCGGTACCATAATCTCATCTATTTTCAATTTAAATGCAAAACTTTTCTCTGTTCTTCCTCCCAAACTCAACTGACCTTTCGTCAGTCACTCCATTTATACACCTGTACATACAATAAAACAAAAATAAAGATAGCCACCTACCACTAAATGACCCTACTAAAAAATCTAAAAAACATTCACTCTCTCACACAGTTAAAAAAAGGCAAGCATTCCAACTGCAATCTTGAAACTCTTCATGTCCAGGAATGGAAAAGGTATTATATTCATGGGAAATAGTCATGTTAACTGTATTAAATTTAATTAATTTTTATCCTTGTCCCACTACTTTTTGAAGTGTGGCTCCCAGCACACCATAACTTCCAGAAAGGAAGTCATATATTCCTGATCCAAATATAAATCCAATTTAACCAATCTTGGAGAACGTTCCATAATTTTAGTGCTACAACTGTGAAGGCTCTCCATGGTATTCTCACAAATCTAACCTTTCTTATTGGTAGAATATATTACAGAACCTTAAGCTTTAAGGCTGGAGTGGGGAACCCACAAACTGCATGAGGCCAGACTCTCCTCATAATTATGCCACTGAAATTGAATAACAAAAATGCTAATTTTCAGTTGTGCATTTATTTTTTACAATGTTAGCTATCAAGTAGAAATGTTAAGCTTTAGAACAGTGTTTTTCAAACTTGGCAACTTTAAGCTGTGTGGACTTCAACTCCCAGAATTCCCCAGTCAGCATCTTAAAGTTGCCAAGTTTGAAAAACACTGCTTTAGAAAGATTACACATTGACTTTCTGAAATATCTCTCAACATACATACTTACATACAAATAAATACACACTCACACACAAACATATTTTGGGCCTATTCATTCCCATGCTGTCACCATAGTGATGGATCACACCCATGCTCTGGGGTGGTTACTGTTTTTTTAAATAGAACTGTAGCCCAAGAAGAAACATCTGTATTACACTGCTTTAAACTGTGGGGCATTTTATACAAGAACAGGGTTTTTTTTCTGGAAAAAGTTGACAATTTTGCCCAATACAGAGGAGTGCTTGAACTGCCCCTGGATGAAGTATGAAAGCCAGAAAAACTGGCATAGACATATGTAGTATGGTCAACAGAGCAAGGGCAGACATGCAAAAAGTAGAAGCTGCAGTTTCTATACAGTTTCAAGAGTCATTCTATGCTAAGCATGTCAAAATATTTCAAATGAGAGAAGATTAAAACAGATTGCTAAAAGGAGATTCACCTTCTCTTGGAAAGGGGAACAACTGCCATACAAGATGAAGCAAAGATGCTAAGGATGTAGTTTTGGGAACACTTGAGTTTTTGAAAACTAAACCTTAGAAAGAAGTTGAAACAATGGGGTAAGGCATTTATTCCTTAAAGAGCAGCCAGAGAATCAAATCTTTACCATTTTTTTTTCTTCCTGGCATGGAATTACAGTAAAGCAAAAAGCTGCACTTTCTTAATTTCTATATCAGTGTTTTTCAACCTTGGCAACTTTAAGTCCGGTGGACTTCAACTCCCAGAACTTCCCAGCCAGAATTACCCATGTCTTTGTCTTAAGCAGGACCTTTCTGAGGAGAGAGGCTTTAGCATGCAACAAAAGAAGACGTTCCCAGAACCACTCGCTCTCCAGGTGGAACAACTTTTATTCTTTTGAAAATTACAGGAAGATCTCCAAGAAAAGTGGGAAGCAAGAAGCTCAGTACAGGGCATTCCTGAAAAAAGATTATAATCTACAAGAAGCTGGAAAAAGGCCCAGTGAGATAGGAACTTTAGCTTCAGGCATTAGGTCTTCCTAGGAAATAGGTAGCAAGTTGAGCTAGAAATACTGCATGCAATTACTTTTATTTTGACTCTGTGTTTTTAGTCTTTTTGCTTTATTGCTTCTGATATTTATTGTCTCCATGCAAACTCAGTGCCTTTGTCTTTCGGCAGATTGAAACTTCTTTACAATAGAACTGGTTCTAAATAGGAGCAGACCGACATCATCTCTACTTAACCATACCTTTCTATTTTCTTATGGGAGAACCCTTTAAAATGCTATCTGAGATACAGACTTTTTTTTATTTGCTTTGCCTTTGAATGGCTTGTGACTACTTAAAGCCAAAACTGAATTTTTACATTCTCCTTTTTGTTTTTTTAAATAAGGTTTTATTTTATTTATCTCTCATGAGGTTGATCTAGCTCCCAAAAAGGGGAGAGGGAAGAACGGGCTGCTTTCCATAGCCACAGACCTCAACACTACATGGCCGGAAAGTGGCACTCTAGAATTTATCTCATTTCTTTCTCTCTTTGTTTTCTTCATTTTCAATTGCCAGAAAGTAACACAAGGTGTGAGAACCTTATTCTGCTTGTATGCCAGGATCAGTGGAGAAGATGCCAGGGAAGGCGTTTTCAGCAAAACAGGTAGTGGCAGCAGGAATTACCAAACTGCACACCAAGGCAGGAGGTACAGCTAGGGTGTGTAGACCCAGAGGGAAAGAAGAGTTGAGATTGCCAACCTTTCATCTTGCAGACTCAGTCCTGCTGCCACAGATGTGTGATAATTAAAAGCACAAAGATAAAACCAGAAACGAAATGACAATCCTAACAATGTATGCACAAGGTTCCCATGACTGCCAGATGTGTGCATTATATAGTTCAGTCAGCATTACTGGCCCCTACTAAAATCCTCTTTCCAGCAGGAGATGGCTATCCATCTCCAGACGCTGGTTCCTTCTCCTGCTGTTCTTTGCTGGCCCTACTAATTTATTTATCCTGCCTAAAGTATGAGAAAAAGCAAGTGTGAAGAGAAAAAAATAGCAGCCTCTACTTGCTTTGTCATTTCCTTGTGTGTTTTGGTCTGATATGGAAAGAGCAAAGAAACAGGTACTGGCAACAGTGCAAAAGATGAAGAGAATCAGGGAGTGATCTGCTGAGGGGATTGTATTCAAAGCCCCCTTAAAATCTGGAGCTAGCTCTAGTCTTCCACCAAACTGGAAGCTCTTTTCATGACTCACCTGCAGGGGCTCTTGAGACTCCTCTGGTTCTTCAATGCTGATATGTAGTTGTGGTAGGTCCTCCACTGGGGCCATGGAAGAGGGGGCCATTGGCTCGGGAGCAACAGCGAGGGGAGGCACCATAGGCAAGACCTCTGTCTCATGGCGGGAGGCCCGTCCAACTGGCGAAGGGGTCTGTAGTGACTGAATGGTGAAAGTGGAGTACAGCCCGGAACGCATGTATTCATTTCGACTGCTACGTGGGGCACCTCCACCTCCTCGTGGAGCTTTGGAGGTACCAAATGCTCCTTCACCCCCTTTGGCCTCACCTGAGACCTGCTCAGGTTTTTTGGTAGCTGCCTCATCCTTCATGCCTTCCATACTTGAAAGTTCTGGGTAAGAGACAAACTTGTAGACAAATTTCTGCCCACTGACTTTACGGATGATATTCTGGAATGAACAGAGAATGGTTGAATTAGAGCAGCAGAGATAAAGTAATCAAGCTACATCTTTCATGCAGACAACAGAGGTTCTATCTATAATCTTTTTCTGGAAAGAGATTTGAATTTAAAAAGCCAATGTATTCCAAAATGGGCTAGATTCCAGTTGATACTTTCTGACTTGAATAATATTTGCATAACTTTGCATGTTTTATTCAGCTTTTGGGAATTACAAATATGGTGCGTGTGTGTGTGTGTGTCTGCCTGTCAAAGGAGAGTAGCTTTGAAACCTTCACATAATAATAATTTGCAGATGGATTATTAGATAACAATGAGGTTATCTTCTTCAATGGGACTTACTTTAAAGTATGTAAGCATAGATTTACAG